CACCTTGTGTGTGAAATATTCAGTCTGTCAATTGAAGAGAGGAACTTAATGCAGTGTTTGGCTTTTGAAGCTGGTTGGATCTCTTTGCCCCATAATCCAGAATTGATTGTCAAGGTAGGGTGATTGGAGAGTTAATTTTTGTTTGGCAAGGGCGATTTACAGGCAGCTGAAAGGAGAAAAGATAGAAGAGCTTAAAACCATCTCTGTCTGCCTTGTATAAGAGTGTTGGTATTGCCTTGCATCTCTTTCCTGAATAGAAGTATAAAAGCTAGATGTTGATCCCTTTTTGTCAAGCTTCTTCAAGTATTGGTGCATTGTTCATGGCAACGGTATGAGCAAATATTTCTTCTAGCATTTGGAGTTAGGGATTGATATATAGATTGAATTTGAAAGTGTCTAGAAAATTATTGAAAAGGTCTTCTATCTGAAATGTTAGATATGCTGTCTGTTAAGAAATGTGAAAATGCAGTTGAGAAATGTTTGTTCATGGCTTCTTATTCACAATACTTGAGGACAGAACATCATGTTCGAAAATAATTAGTATTTTTGAGTTATTTTTCTTACTAGTACATAAATAAGCCTTTTTTTTTTTTCTTAAAAGTGAATTTTTAGTTGAAAGTAATTCTGTACTTAACGAGTGAATCGCTATTGGTTTGATATCAATAATGGCTGTTGTTTCAGTTAGTTGAGGATACATTTGTATCCATGATGGGATAGTACATTCCAATATATTCTCTACTATATGTATATATATAAACTGTGTCGGGTGTGATATGGTGTATCAAAAGAGGCCTTTTAAGTGTACAATTTAAAAAAAAATCACGAGTCTCAAACGTGTCATTCTTAACTTTTCTTATTCTATCGTCGATAAATTTGGATCCGTTGTGATCCACTCAGATTGAATGTGCATATTTTTATTTTAAGTGTCGAAAGGCTTTTGATAGTTTGAAGTTGGCAATGATGGTTAGGTTGATGATTAGCTATTTTAAAATTTTTCTTTTGGTACTCGATAGATTGATCACTTGCATTTGGCAAGTAAATGACGAGACCGTTGCCTATTTCATGGTGAATTATTCTAGATGAATAGGGCCATATTGGTCATGTCCGTTCAGGGACCTGTCCGTTTAGTATCACTTTTTCATTATAATTTTCACTAGTTAAATACATTTAATTCAACAAGTAGCTGCCTTTGTTGCTTCTAAAATTTCTAGCACGGGTTGAATCCCTCAATTACTATTATTTGACCATCATTTGAAATTATCCTTTGTAGAATTTCTACAAAATAATTTCTTGACCTCGACAACGGTCACGTGATTTAGTGACGATTAAGTCGCTAGCTTGAAGAGAGATGCATGCTTGACAGGATATAAAAATTGAAAAACAAGTTAGACTCATAAGCGCCTGTAGCTCAGTGGATAGAGCGTCTGTTTCCTAAGCAGAAAGTCGTAGGTTCGACCCCTACCTGGCGCGTCTTTCCCTTTTCATTTTTGCTTTTCTCTCTTGCCACTACTCTTATATAGTCCTTTAATTGAAAATTAGAATTTTAGTAGATTTTGTACACGATTTGTCCTCCACTCAATTTTTAATAATTTTTTTTTCAAGATTTTTGGATTTGAATAGAATTTTATAACATAATTTCATATTATAAACTTCAATAAATTTCATTAACACGTTACGAAAAAACTTAAGTTTGTCATTAAAAATAGCGATAACTGAAGCGGATGTTTCAAACCTTTTAAAATGTGTTGATTACATAAAGTCTTAGCAATGGAGGTTCCAAACATTTCAAACTTAGCGGTAGGAGGATCTCTTGACGGTTTTCACCCAAAAAATTGTTAGTTGATTAAAAATCAATGTTTGACTATAATTTGATCGATCTTTAAAGGGCAAGATAATATTTTAACCTTCAATTAATTAAAAAAAGAGAAAAAGAAAACTTTGCATTGGAGGTTTCAAACCTTTCAAAAATATGCAGTGGAGATCCCAAACTTTTTAAAATTGTGTGGCAGAGTGACCTCCGAATGGTTTTTATCCAAAAATTTATGTTTTTGTTCATATTAATTTCTTCTGTTTTAGTTAATGGTAGACTTATATTTATGGGCTCAAAATTCATTAAATATGAGGAGACAGACTAGAATTTTCTAATGAGTTCAGTATGTATTTTATGGGCTCGAAATTCATTAAAAAAAAATAAATACAAATCATTTCAATTATGAAATGTTTAAAAATTAACGAGTTATTGGGACAGAGATCTTAATAAGATCCATAAATTTGAGTTTATGACACCTAATTTTGAATGAAATCTATTAAAATATAAGTTGAGGATACCTAGATATTAATACACCATTAAAATATGAATTGAGAACATTTCGAAAAGACCTTCTAAATGTAATCTAACTTTTATTTTAGAGAGCTGATACTTGCAAAAGGTTTGAAATATTTTCAAATAGAGAATGAGTTAGATTCTCTAAATTTGGATAGCCAAATCGATCGTCTATTCTTACTTTATAATAATTGCAGTTTATAAGTTATCGAGTTCAATACTCATACTCTACTTCTTAAATTGTTCAAATCATATTTGAAAATATTACTTGTTGATATGTAATAAAAATATGTTAAATAAAAGACGAGTAGAAAAAAATATTTCTTGAAAAAGAAAATGAAGAGCCAAAATAGAGAGCGCTATTGAAGTATATAAAATAATTAGACATCGTTGATATAAAATAGAGAGCATTGTTTAAGTATATAAAATGAAGAGCCAAAATAGTTGTTGATATATAATAAAAATATTGTCTTTTCCCGCATCGAGAAGCCCTAGAAACCCGTGACTAAGCTTTAAACAAATGTGTTTGAAAAAAAGAACTACTGCAGTAGAAGAACAAGAAAAATGCTACATGTACAGATGAATTTACAGGTACTAAAACGACAAAAGTTAATTGGTTGGTGCAACTTTATTTTTTTGGGTCCAAAATCCAATGAAACCTTGTCAGCCGATGTTTTGTAAATTAGTCTGTAAAAAAAATCGGTACATGTAGCATTTCTTAAAGAACAATTGATGACAAGATGATTTTACTATGTAAAAGCTCTATATTTAAATGGGCCTCTATATACACCTCTATATACTATCTTTTTATTTATTTATCTTAATCAAATGATTGATTCATTCCTCAATCACTGCAGCAGACCTTCTTAATAATAGATTATTGCAAGTTTATTTATGCCTATCTTCCCCTCAGTGCCTTGAACATAAGCTCAAGTGCACAAACACCCTCGTACTTAAGCATAATTTTTTGTCCGGTCATGTACCTTTCGAGTCGACACCTTTATACGAAACAATCAAGTTTCAAATGTCAAGATTAAGAAATCAAAACAATTGAGCAAAATTTTTTTAAAACTGAAAGTAGCAATACATTTCAATTGCCTCTTTTACCCCACTAGTCAATGAACCATTCGGTAGTTTGGGCTACCAACTTTCAGGTCGGCACCTTCATACGAAACAACCATGTTTGAAATCATAAAGATAAGAACTCCAAACAATAGGACAAATGCGTTTTTAAATTAAAGTGATAACACATACTAATCCCTTCGTTTGCCTAACTAGCCAATGGACCCTCCGATAGTCCAGACAAGCACTTTTTGGATCAGTGACTTTTATATCTAGAATGATAGTTTATCTCTACAGATGAATTCATAACTATTATATTTATATTTCATGAAGTAATAATGGTGCTCATATGATATGTTATACATTTTAACCCCTAAAATCACACGTAGAAGAGAAGCTTAACAAAATTTGGCTTCCGAAACCAACTGTCGAGAATTTCAGAGTCTAACTGTGGATAACGACAATTCATCTTGATAGATGATTTTGTTAGGGATTGACATTTACATTTCACATTCATATTTGTTTTCCAAGACATGAAGGGTTAAATTATGACAAACGTAATGTGTGTTATACTCATAGCTTCAAATAGCATTATACTCGTCCATAAGTTTTATATGTAAATTCAAAGACGTTTTCAAGAATAAAAATAGAACGATCCAACACTTAAAACAACACTCAAATAATCTTGAATAATCATATAAAGACACACTTAACCATTATTCGTGCATGTTAACTAGAATATACACAGTTCAATCTTGGCTCATTTCACCAACTAAAAAATTAAATTCAAACTCAATTTGTCTAATAATGATCAATAACCATTATTTACATGAAAGAAAAGTGAAAAACATAATTATAAGAAATAAATTCATAGATAATCTACATAAACCATAATGTTAACATTTTTGTAGACCTAGAAAAAAGACAAACGAAATGAAAAAAATAAGACATATTGTATCAATTCAGGACAAAAATTATGAAAAAGAAAAAAATAAATACCCCTAAATTTGAAAAATTGGAAGAGAATAGAGCAACAAATGCAAAAGGAATGAAAAAAAAAAGAAAACATCAAGAGATTAATGATGATCTTCATCGACGGTAGACTGATTAACGATCATTTTACTTCAACCCTAGACAAAAATGGGGGTAGTCTTGAACGAGAGGAAATTGAGACGTTTAGGTTTGGGGAACGAGAGAGAGAATGAGAGGATTTTTACCTTTTCAGT